AAAGAAAGAAAGAAAGAAAGAAAGAAAGAAAGAAAGAAAGAAAGAAAAAGAAAGGAAGGAAGGAAGAAAACAAACAAAGAAAGAAAAAAGAAATCATCTTTTCAGTGTGACTTATGGTGACATTTTCAAGCAATAGAATTATATTTATAATATATCTCAGAAATCAGTTCCTCATCCATAAATAAAGCGGCTTCATATAATTAAAATAAATTTAAAAATAAAAGGAAAAATCTAGTATACATTACAGTGTTAGTTGAAAATAGATATAGCTGTAATCTCAAAATTGTGTGAAGGAAACTGTTAAACAATATTATAGTGAATCTGGCTAACTGTAATTAGAAGGACTGATTCTCCAGGAATGAAAACAAGAGTTTTAAAACAACTTTTAAACATATATGATATATTTTAAATCTTAGGGAGGCTTATGTACCTTAAGACATCTTCAATGTCTATAGAGAGTCTCAGTCATCAAGATCATGGTTGTCCCAAAGGTGCTTTTTCAAGAGGCAACTGGACTTTCTGGTTTTTCTTTGAATTCAAAGAAAAACCAGAAAGTCCAGTTGCCTCTTGAAAAAGCACCTGAGGAACTTAAAACATCTTCTGTAGTATAGAAATACTAAGTATGTACTGAATAGCACATATGTTTTGGTAATTAAGAAGTGAAAAAATATGGATTGCTGATTTTTTTAAATGTAAAAACCAAAATTTGGCTTCTTATATGTAGAATCAAAAGTTAATAATCATGTTTGGCACAATACTTTAAACATTCCCTACTTGAGTGCTCTTTGTATTGGGACCTGAGGTTCAGAACTCTTTTCAATTTTTTTTCTCAGATGGTGCTAAATTTCAAATTTCATAATTTACTTTTCATTATGGTCAAAATATTACAAGAATTGAATTCTCGCACAACTAAAAATCACTATATTTACAAGTGTGATTTGAAACACTATTCATTAAAAGTAAGATCCCAGGCAAAACATTTCATGAGTTCACAGTTCAAATAACAGAGTCTTCATGCTGTATTTTGAACATATTGAACTTTTCCAGTTTTCAAAGACAGCTCAATATAATCTAACCTGGAATTATATGTCCATCCATCCATACATCCCACTTGTATATTGTATGACTCTCTTTCTGGCATTAATTATAATTGTGTAAATACAATATTCCTTAGTTTATGACATATTTTCCCAGTATTACCCATGTTTCCCCCAAAATAACACTCAGTCTTATATTTTGGGGGGGTTCCAAATAAGCACTGGGGTTCATTTTTGAGGAATATCTTATTTTTCCCCCCCCATTTACTGGTGGCCCACTTTTTCTGCCTGCTTCTGGCTGCAACAGGGTAGGAGATTGCATGGTGCGCCGTGCTGCCACCACATGGCAAGGGAGGATAGAGCTGCCCCACATGCCCTGCACCAGCTTACCTCAGGGCCCTACAGCCAGGCCAGCCGGGCCCTGACAATTGCCTCAGTTTGCAGCAGCGGCTCTGACATCCCTATTCATCAGGACCCCACAGGGCTGCCAGCTCACTTCTGCTTTCTTGCAGCCACAACAAAACAGGCAAGCTAAGAGACGGTGGGGTGGCTGTGGGAGGCTTATCTTCATGTCTCTCACTTTTCCTGCAGCCTCACAGTACCTTCCCCCTGCACCTCTCCCTCCATCTGCTGCCAATGCCACCATGCAAAGACAAGCCTCCACAGTTGTCTGCCCACTCCATCCCACTGACTCTCATTTTTCCATCTACTTCACAGCACATCCAGATGAGGTGTCCCCGCCCCCCCGCCTCTGCCTACACCTGCTCTTGGAGAGGTAAAGCTGCGGTGGCTGCCAGATACCATCAGCCCCCATGCCCTCACATCCTCCAGTGTTGGCCATGCCTCCCCACTGATGATGACCTTATCTAGGGCTTATTTGGGGGGGTACGTCTTATATTAGGAGCACGCTGAATCAAGCTGGGCTTATTTTTTTGGGATAGTTCTTATTTTTGGGAAAACAGGGTATATATGTATAATATAACTTCCCAATTCTCCGGAATTTAATCACAGATTAAAGTAGTGCTAGGAAATTCATTGTATGAGTATATGACCAATAGATGTTTAAAAATATGTATTACTTCAGTAGTTTATGTTTCTAATGCAGAGACACATCTATAATCACCTATATTAAACCAATGTTTTTAACATAAATCCACAGGATTTTAATTTGCTAATTAAATGATTAAAATATACAGTATCTAAGGTTTCCATATTAGGCAAAGTTTAAAATCCTCGTAGACAACCTTTGTTATCCTCGACTATGCATCCAGGTAATACTTAATTCTAATGCAACCTATTCAGTCTACATATGTTTGATCTTGAATAATTTGTTTAAACATTAATTTATAAAAAAAATTAATGCTACAAAGTTATATAGTTACCTTGACTATGATCAGTTTGAACAAATTTATCCTTAAGAGATATTATATTGTCACATTTTGATTTGCAATATTTATTTAGCATTTGGTTCAGGTGAGTTTTTTTCTCTTGTTGCATAAAGTTTTGCATATAAAGGAACAATTTTTTTTAAAGGATGTCAGATCAGTAAAGATAAGATCATGTGATTGTGCTCCAGAAAAGACCCTTTAAAAAAAAAAAAATCATGCAGCAGCATGCAAGTTCCAATAACTAGACTGTTATTATTTTCTTTTAAAAATAACTATTTTATTCATTTGTTATACATTGTTGTTGAATTTTCATGTTTTTTCATCCATGTTTTATTTTATTTACTTATTAAAAAAGAATGTTTTCATAAATAAGGCTGAAAAGATTATCCATTTGTTATCAATGTGCTTAACTATTTTAAAATAAATAAACTGCTTTGATGTTTAATGTTATTCACATAAATAAAGAGGAAATAACTCTTATTAAGCTCTCTGTACATGTTTTTTCTCTTCAGTTTGTATTTGATAGGGTAGTAGCAGAGGTAGAAAAAGAAAAAAAATAATATGCTGATGTTTTTAAGTTGCCTGAATTCAAACTTTATGTTCTGTCAATGCACATGTTTTTCTTTCAGGACTCCCAATATTGACAGTTTAGCTAATGGAGGCATAAAACTAACTCATCATATAGCAGCTTCCCCATTATGTACACCAAGTAGGGCAGCTTTCTTGACAGGCCGATATCCTATCAGATCAGGTAACTAAAATTTTTTATATATTTACTTTTAAATATGAAAAATATTGTATTGTTTTAATTTACAGTTTCTGTGTGAATGTGGACTCCTCAAAGAAAATACATTGTATGTCATATTTATTACTTATTTAGTGAGATTGCTGGCTCCTGTAATTATTACATGAGACAGGTGATCTATTCTGCATCTGAAAGTTTTGGAACCAAAGGAGTGTTAGTGTGAAACAATACAAGAGCACACAATAGATACAAACTCAAGGTTAACCGCACCAAACTTGACTGCAGAAAATGCGACTTCAGCAACAGAGTGGTCAGTGTTTGGAATACTCTACCTGACTCTGTGGTTTCTTCCCCAAACCCAAAAACTTTAACTTTAGACTGTTTACTATTGACCTCATCCCTTTCCTAAGAGGTCTGTAGCGGATGTGCATAAGTGCACCAACGTGCCTACCTTCCCTGTCCTATTATTTCTTTTATTTTTCTTATATGTATACATGTATTCATAACTATGTTTTTACTTATACCTATTATCTTGTAAGCAATTGGCAAACCAAATAAATACTAAAAAATAAATACTAAATACTTCCTTTAATATGGTGATATTACAAGACTGAATATTTCTCTTTGGGAGAATAATATACATATATAGTACATGTAGCACTTCCACTAGAAATAAAGTTGGAAGAGACCTTGGAGGTTTTCTGGTCCATACCCCTGTTCAAGCAGGGGACCCTATACCATTTCAGACAAATGGCTGCCCAATCTTTTCTTTAAAAACCTCCAGTGATGGAACACCCCACCAAGCCATTCCACTGATTAATTGTTCTAACTGTCAGAAAATTTCTCCTTATTTCTAAGTTGGTTATCCTCTTTATTAGTTTCATCCATTGCTTCTTATTCTGCCTTTTTCTTTATGGCAGCCCCTCAATTGTTAGAACACTGTTATCATGTCACCCTTATCCATTTATTTATTTATTTATTTGTTTGTTTGTTTATTTATTTATTTATTTAGTCAAGTGATTATTAGAAAACAGGTATAAGTATAAACATAGTTATGAATACATGAAATGGATATGAATAAGAAAAAAAACAATAGGACAGGGATGGTAGGCACATTGATGCACTTATGCACACCCCTTACAGACCTCTTAGAAAAGGGGTGAGGTCAATAGTGGACAGTCTAAGGTTAAAGTTTTTGGGTTTGGGGAAGAAACCACAGAGTCAGGTAAAGTATTCCAGGCATTGACCACTCTGTTGTTGAAGTCGTATTTCCTTCAATCAAGTTTGGTGCGATTAACCTTGAGGTTGTATCTATTGTGTGTTCTTGTATTGTTTTGGTTGAAGCTGAAGTATTCATTGAAAGGTAGGACATTGCAATATATAATTTTATATACTATACTTAGATTGAATGAAGGCGTAGTTCTAGGTTGTCTAGGTCTAAAATTTCAAGTTTGGTTGAATAAGGTATTCTACAACGAGTAAAGGAGTGGAGAACTCTTCTTGTGAAATATTTCTGGACTTTCTCAACTGTGTTAATATCAGATACGTAATGTAGGTTCCAGACTGAAGAGCTGTATTCAAGTATTGGTCTGGCAAATGTTTTGTATGCTCTAATTAGTAGAGTGATATTACTGGAGAAAAAGCTACGTAAGATTAGGTTAACAACTCTTAATGCCTTTTTGGCTATGTAGTTACAGTGGGCTCTAGCACTTAGGTCATTTGAGATGAGTACTCCAAGGTCCTTGACAGAGTTTGGATCATCAACAAGTTGTTGACTATTCAGCTTGTATTTTATTTTCTGATTTTTTTTGCCAATATGTAAGACAGAGCATTTATTTGTTGAAATTTGAAGTTGCCATTTGTTTGACCATTCTGATACATAGTCAAGGTCTTTTTGAAGGGTAGCAGTATTGTCTGTGGTGTTGAACAGCTTTACATCATCAGCGAAGAGAATGCAGTTGCTCTTAATATGATCACAGAGGTCATTTATGTAGAGTATGAAAAGAGTTGGTCCTAGAACACTGCCTTGGGGACACCATTGTTGACAGGTACAGAATTTGATAGGATGCTCCCAATTTTGACCATTTGTTGTCTGTTTGAGAGGAATGCTTCTATCCAGTTATGTAGTTGTCCAGAGATACCATAAGATTTTTGTTTTAGGAGTAGTTTGTCTTGCACCACTGAATCAAAGGCTTTACAAAAATCTATGTAGATTCTGTCTATTGTTTTGCCCTGTTGTGTAGTCCATATGTTTTTGCAGTGTAAGAGTTGCAGATTACAGGATTTGAGATGAGTACTCCAAGGTCCTTGACAACGTTTGTGTCATCAACAAGGTCTTGACTATTCAGCTTGTATTTTATTTTCTGATTTATTTTCTTTAGACTAGAATACCCAATTCCTGCAGCTGCAACCCTCAGGTTTCCTAATCATTTTATGTGCACTTATTCTAGATTCTCAGCATCTTTTTATATCATTGCAACCAAAATTGGATACAATATTCCAAGTGTGGTCTTACCAAGGCATTATAAAGCAGTATTAATGCATCATGTGAACTTGATTCTATCCCACTGTAAATGCAGCATAGGATTGTGTTGGCTTTTTTGGTGGCTGCAGCATACTACTGGCTGATATTTAAGTGGTTGTCCACTAAGATTCCTAGATCCCTCTTGCAGTTACTATTGAACCAGGTACCACCTATTCTATACCTGTGCATTTTCTTACCTAAATGTAAACCTTACTTTTATCACATTGAATTTAATTTTGTAAGATAGGGCACCACGTTCAAGTCTTTCGAGATCCATTTGGATCGTAAGTCTATTTTCTGAGCTGTTGGCTATTCCTGCCAGCTTGGTGTTGTCTGCAAATTTGATGGGTTCCCTTTTTATCCTCTCATCTAAATCATTGATGAGGATGTTGAAGAGTAGTAGGCCTAAGACAGAACCTTGGATATCCTGCTTCATACTTCTCTCCATGTAAATGTAGTTCTATTGAGGACTAAATGTTGCGTGCAGTTTGTCATCCACTTATGAATCCATCTGGTGGTGATGCTGTCTATCCCGTATTTGTCTATGTTACCAAGAAATAGTTTGTAGGCTTGCAAACTGACAAAGAGAAAGCCTACATTAATGTAGCAGGGATCTGCTGATTATGTGCCATGAAGTTATTTTTTATTCCTAACAACCACATAAATAGATTTTTCTCCATGACCATCTATTCCTAATCTGCTGTTTCAATTTTCCCAACAATGCACTCATTGTCACTTTCATTTAGTTCATCCACCTTGCTGTTGGTTATCTTTTTCTCTTTCCTTACAAACTATTTACAGAATTTAGAGAACAAACAATTTAGAAGTATCTTATTTGCATTAATGCTCTTAACGAACACCTCTTTTTAATGTTTTGCAGTTTTATGTGGTATATTATGTTATCATATGTACAGAATAATCCTTCAGTAACAAGGATATGCACATGGAAACATTTATGAGAGTAGTTATGAATAATTATTCAGCCACACACAGATACACTAAATTGAGTTAAAGTTTACTTTAAGAAATAGCACAGTCCAATAAACAGTCCAGGTCATATACATTTTACAGTCCAAAGAATATCCAATTACAAAGTCTTCTTACTGGTTGCCTTTGTCGTTTACAGTAAACAAAAATATCAAAGTATAAGCACAGCATAAATACAACAGAGAACCTTAGATAGCAACAAAATGTCAGAGAGAGCAAACTATGATCTCTAGCTCCCTCTTATGGTAATTTGCAATGTAATCAACCAATTGGAATATAGTATAAATCAATACAAGTGATTTTTTCTTAAAGCTACAAACATACATTGTTGATTTATATATTGTCAACCCAACTAATTGGTGGACAGATTCCTAACATATGGTAAAAAAGAAATATGGGTGTAGGTAAAGTCTACATAATAATGATTTCATTTCAACTGCAGTTGCATGAAAAAGCTAATCCCTCTCCCAATCAAATTGTATATTTCAGTAAATCCCTAGACAGACAGATTTATTAAATTTAAAGCTTTAAATTATAATTTATCAAACAACTGATTTAATACCAGTAATCAAACAATAGACTGACTCAGCAATCTTGATTATTTACTTGAGCAGGAGGTTAATGAATACATTGCATAACACAAGCAACCCAAGACAATCGCACAAAAACAATTTTCATCAGAGTACCTACAAGAATCTTACCAGAAAGATAATGAGAATAAATGCATCTTTAGGTTTTTTTTGAATGGATGGCCTGACCAGCCTATCACACCTCCGTGACAAAAGTTACCCAAATATGTTGCCACCACTTACTGTCTTGATCCACTAATCTGTTAGATCTCACAAACAGAAAAATAAAAGGATCAGCAGGGCCAGCACTTAAACCTAATTCATAACACAGCTGCTTCTATACCACATCCCCATTCATACAAGGGAAGGAAACTTTTCCCATTGAGGCTTTGATATAACAAGAAAAGTTGAGAAGTAGAATAAAAATCAACCAGTTAAGGCATTCAGAATACGATATTTGCAGGCTGTACCAAACATCAGGTCCCAAAGGCCATTCATAACTTTTTTTCCCTCCAATGAAAATTTTACTATGTTTGGGAATGTTCAGGGTTGAAAGTATTCTAAAATCCTTGCTATGCAGATTTTCCCATCTTGCTAGCTATTTTTCTTCTTTTTAAATGTGCCACTGATTGGAAAATGAGAGCTACATTGTTGCATTGTTTCAAAAGGTTAACAGTAGTAAACATCTAGAGCAACACTTGAATATCATTGGCATTGACATAATCATGGTCAATTGCAAAAAGCAGCTTTATTTGGGACAGCTTAAATACTGTGACAATGCCTTTAATGAATAGAATAGAATATTTTTTATTGTCAAGTGTGATTAAACACACAAGGAATTTATCTCCCGTGCATAAGCTCTCAGTGTATATACAAACAACGAAGTAATATAATCATAAGATACTAATAATAGAAGGTAATAGGAAAGATGAGAAGGAAGGCATTAAATAATAACATCTGCCTATCTCAGGTCTCTGCCAAGGACTCAGTAGGTGAATGAAAATGCCATATACAGTATAACATCTGGCTGGCTTTGTGGCTAATCATCATAATAATGGAATGGTGGTAAAATATACATGTAAGCATGTTGTCCAGCCCTATCAGGCTTTAATCACCCTTTTTCTGCCCATATCCTCTTTTTCAAGTAAAGCTCACCAAAAGATGCTCAATCATTCTTTACAAGAATATCTGGATATGGGTGAACATCTTTTTGCTCTCATCCTAACAAAAATGGCCAAGCTCCAGTATTATATCAATATGCTACCTGTTTTTCATAGATAATCTGATAAAATGTTCTTCTACTGTTGCTTTGCATATATATTCTTTTAATAAAAATGACTTATTTTATATTCAAATGTTTAATTTTGTTAGGAATGGCAAGTCTGAATCGGCTTGGAGTCTTATTATTTTCAGCCTCTTCAGGGGGTCTGCCTGCTGAAGAAATAACATTTGCAAAGCTGCTTCAACGGGAAGGTTATTCTACAGGTCTTATAGGTAACAGATCGGTATAGGTGCATGTTTTTCACGGTGTTTCACTTTAAATAAGTGTGCTTCAGAGGTGGTATTCAACCGGTTTGCACTGCCTTGGGCAAACCGGTAGCGGTGATTTGGTGTGGGTCGTCGAACCAGTGGCGACCCCTGGCTGGCCACACCCCCAACCCAGTTGCCTAGTCGCTCACTTGCCCCAGTCGCTCTCCTAGCTTTCCCTACCATGTGGTGGCTGGGCACAGCTTGGGTGGATGTCCCACAGCTGCTGCACATGTGGGACATCCACCCTGCTGGACGGTGTGTGCAGCCACTACATTTGCAGTGCGCATATGCAGTGGCCCCAGGACATCCGCCCACCTGCCCACCCACCCAGAGCATGCTTCTCCTGGCAGACGCATCTCTTCCGTACTGGCCTGGCCTGGCACAGCCAGCCAGTAGGTGGCCACATGTCCAGCCATCCCTTTTGAAGCACTAGAAGCCTCTCCCAACTGGCCGACTACTCTCTTCCTCCTCAGCCATATAGAACAAACAGGCAGAGAAGAAAGGGAGCAGCCGTCCATCCAGTTGTGCTGAAAAAGGGGTGGCTGGGACTGAAAAAAAGTTGTTTCCATCCACCTCTTTCGGAGTGCTGCACCAGCAGACTCAGTGGGGTGAACCTGTGTGGCCGGTGGCTAGGATGCAGTGGCGGCGGCAGGTTGGAGAAGCACAGCAAAGCCTGTTGAAGAAGCCTATAGCCACTGCATGTTTTTTTCAGTGTGGAAGGTAAGGTTTCAGGCAGTCGAGAAAGCTGCCTAGCCCAGAGCTGCTGGGTGTGTGTGTGTGAGGCTGCAGCACACGCCTCACTTGAATTTCCCAGCTCCAAAAGCCAGAAGGGAGGAAGGCTTTTTCAGGCAATGTGGGACAGGACACTGGCTGGGATGAACCCTTGTAATGATAGATTCTGCAGGACACTTGGAAGTCTGTGTGTGTTTCAGATGGATCTCCCTTCTTAGAGGGAAAGGAGAGAGAAAAAGAGGAAGAGAGAGGGAAAGAGAGAGGGAGGGAGAGAGGGAAAGAGAGAAAGAGGGAGAGAGAAAGAGAAGAGAGAGAAAAGAAAAGAAAGAAAGAAAAGGGAAAGAAAGAAAGAAAGAAAAAGAGAGAAAGGAAGAAGGGATAGACAAAGAAAAATGGAATGGAAGGAAGGGAGAGAAAGAAAGAAAGAGAGAGAGAGAGAGAGAGAGAGAGAGAGAGAGAGAGAGAGAGAGAGAAAGAAAGAAAGAAAGAAAAAGAAAGAGAGAGAGAGAGAAGGAAGGAAAGAAGGAAGGAAGGAAGGAAGGAGGGAGGACAAAATGAAAGATATATGAATGAATGGATGGATAGATACGTGGAAGAAGAGGGGGGAGGAGAGAAAAAAAGGAGAGGAAGAAAGGACACAAACCCTGGCTTCAGAAGACCCTTTGAAACAGCACAGCAATCTAGGGCTGGAAGGGCTCTTGGAGGTAATCTTCTAGTGAAACTTGGAAAGTTTAAGACTTGTGGACTTCAACTCCCAGAATTCCTGAGCTAACATGACTGGAGGAGGAATTCTGGAAGTTGAAGTCCACAAGTCTTAAAGCTATCAAGTCAGAAGACCCCTGTTCTAGTCCAACCCCCTGCTCAGGCAGGAAAACTCTGAGGATGCCAAAATCTGAACAGAGGTCCCGGGAAAGGTGTCAGAATAACAGAACAACACTTAGAAGGGACCTTGGGGGGAAGTCTATACTATTTCAGAGAAATGGCTGTCCAGTCTTTTGGTAAAACTTCCAGTGTTGGAGCACCCAGAACTTCTGGTGGCAAGCAATTCCCCTGGTTAATTGTTCTCATTATCAGGAAGTTTCTTCTTACTTTTAGGTTGCTTCTCTCTCTGTTCAGTTTCCATCCTTCTGGTGCTTTGGAAAATACATTGCCCCCACCTTCTTTCTGGCAGCTCCCTAAAAGCCTGTTGCCTATCACTTTCTTGGGCAAAGCATGTGAGCCATTTCCTCCTTTCAGTGGTCCAGGAAAGTACATCTATAGTACAAAGATGATAAAGTCAAAAAAAGGCGAATAACATTTTTACAGAACTATAGATGTGGTGAGGCTGGGTGTGACAAGGAATGGCTGGTAGGGGAGGGGCCAGGCAAGGCACCCTTGATGTGAGTGACATTGAGTTGGCCACACCCACCCAGTCATGTGACCCCTCCAAGCCATGCCCACCAAATAAGCCACGCCCACAAAACTGATAGTAAAAAATTTGAGTCCCACCACTGTTGTGCTTATCTTTAAATTGGTTTTCAAAATGATTTACAGGTTAACATTTGAATAACATCATGGTTTACGTGACTATGTGGTCCAATATTATATAAAAAAGGCAATCTGTTAAGTCTGTAGGTGCCTTTAGTTAGTTAATGGGTTTCTGAGGCCTGTGGTGAACAGGATAAATATGCTACATTAGTAGAAAAAAATATATAATAGCCTTTAATTCCATCCCAACTCATATTAGCTCCCTTTAGTCCACTATTAAGTAAGATCTGTTTATCATCAGAAAAGCTGAGAAAAAGCAACTCCAGATTAATAATAAAGGCTAGACTGATCTTTCTACTTTTTCAGTAAGAATGCTTATACACACATGCCCAAAATGTGCATCCAAATAAAAATGTATAGTGGCACATTTTTCAGAGAAAGTAAAATAATAACAACAACAACAACAGATGATGATGATGATGATGATGATGATGATGATGATGATGATGATGATGAAATCAAGTGAAAAGAATTGTGGTTTTCTTAGATAAGACTCTTTAGTTGAAAACTATTTCAAAATTATTCAGATGATAGGGGGTGAATATTTCCTATTTTATTTATTTTTAATTTATTTACATATAGTTTACAATATAGAAACACGATAATACTTTTTAATACATTTTTGCATTCAAAAATGTAGGAAATTGCTTTCATCATATTGCATTACATTGTTCATGTATATATTTTTGAAATATTATTTTGGTACCTTCATATTAAAATGTAAATATGTATTTCTAAAATCTTTATTGAGGGCTAACATACAATCTGAAATCTATGTACATTTTTTTCATCTAGGCAAATGGCATCTTGGTTTAAATTGTAACAGCAGTCGTGATTTCTGCCACCACCCCTTAAATCATGGATTTGATCATTTCTATGGAATTCCTGTGAATAATATTAGAGACTGCAAACCTGGGGGTGGAAGTGTTTTCACCAAAGGAATTAAAATGCATATTTCCTCAACCCTTCAGATCACTGGAATTTCTCTTATAACTTTGGAAGTTATGCATTATATTGGCTTTTTCAAAATTCCACATAGAATGGTAGGCTACTTCTTTTTGTTGGTTGTTACATTGATGGCAATCATATTCCTCTTCTTTAACAACTTTCGGCAGCTGAATTGCTTGCTGATGAGAAATTACACTATTACCCAGCAACCATGGATTTATGACAACCTAACTCAGAGATTTACAGAAGATGCCAAACATTTTATAAGAAGGTATGGATAGTTTAAGACTTTGGAATATTACTCTGGGATACTAGTGACATAGAGGATGAACTTGGCATTTGTTTGTGAAAAAAATGAAAATATATACATTTATAGAACTGAGGATTTATACATTTTGCTCTTGTCTTTGATAAATTATACTGGTGTTTTGGAGTTAGCACTATCTACATTATCTAAGGCCCTGTTCAATATAGCTTCAGTTCTTGACTTCATATTATTCAGTTACATGAATAGTGAAAATTCAGTTTTATATCTTCTCTTTTTATGGGTGGAGAAAGAACATAGAATAGAAAGAACATAACAGTGTTCTGTATCTATATTTCATCCTATATTTATTCATGGTTAAATTAGTTACACTTTAATAAATTAACCCAGCTATATTAATTTGTGTAAAAGAATCACATCTAAATATGTGACTCAGATCTCCTCTACATATTTTATTAGAAACTAGCCAACCAAATTTTAGTTTATTCTGTTATGCAAACAATATTATTTCTTCTTAGTGAGGAAAATTTGATTATACCTGAAAATAAGTTTTTGTTTTCTATTATCAATCCCAATTGTTAGATTTTTGTGTTTGGAAAACTAGTTATATTCTTTTAGTCTCGTGGAAAGTAAAATACCTAACATTTTCTATTGCTATTTACCAAATTTAAGATTCAGGAAAGGAAATATTTGAAGGTATTCAGCAATGTTTCTGTATAGGAAGCTAAACTTTACAATGATGATTATATGCAGCTTTAAAAGATAATCAAATTCTTTTTTAAAATGAAAAAAAAATTACCTTGCTCTTTTTCTTGCCACTTTGAGTATTTACATTTCAACTCATTTTAAAATTTGTCCAGAGCACTAACATACCTAATTATAAAGGGTCAATTGTACCTACTCTTTATTCTGTAACAACAAAAACTCCTTTCAGGAGTAAATAATATTATACAATTCCCATCACTGCCAATCCCATGAGCAACTTTCTCGCAAGCCACTTGTCAGGCTTGTGATTGCTATAATCAGAATGAGTGATCGAGCCATTTTTCCTCTTCCTTGCACTCTTATTAATGTTCCATCCATGTGTTTACGATTTCATGCCCAGCTTGTTTCTTGCATTGGCACATTGACTTCATAGATTGTCTTGGGAATAAGTGTGTTGGCACTTATTCTGAAGCAGAATTTTGTCTGAGGGATGCAATTTCTGTTCCAGGCATTAAACTGTGTAGTTCAAAGCTTTCTTTATCTGAAATTCAGAGTCCTCAACCATCTTTGCTTTGGGGACTTCAATTTTACTTTAGGACACACTCTTGAAGCTTTCTGCTATAGATGAAGGATTCTGAAAACATGACATGCAGGGCTGCTTGTTCATAGCATATTTTTTTTAAATATCAGCAAACACTAAGGAATAGCAACTAGTAGCAGCATCTTCACACCTCTCCTTTTAAAGGAAGTTGTTAATGCTGTTCAGAAAAAAACAGAAAAGACAGCAGCAATCTTACAGCAAGGTAGTCAGTGACCAAAATCCCTCCAAAGAAAAAAAGAAGGAAAAGGTAATTGGCATAGTACTATACATGTTTCTTACATCGAAATGCACAGGCTATTTTTATTTTTGAGAAATTCCCCAGGCATTCCCATATATTGCTACCAACTTATAATTTTAATAGGACAGAGGGGAATAAGAATTCTTAATGTAGTGTATTATCTTGCAATATTGCATATTTGGCTGTTTTATGTATCTCAGTCTTGTAAACTTAATTTTAATTAAATGACACTTTCAGAATATTAGAATTGATTGATTGTCTATATCTTTATATTTATTTTAAGTGATGAAGACTTAAAGCAACTTACATTAAAGGACTCTGCTTTTGGGCCACAAGCATTAGAAGAAAGAACATTCCTTACTTTGAATTATGATCTGTTAGGGTTATTAGAGATTTTTCATTTCTCTTAAGTAAGATACTCATGAAATAGCTTAAAATGAGTTATATCCTTTGTATAATAAAAATACAAAGGAATGTTTTAGCGGGATAATATAATTGACCATCATCAAAGAGAAGGACGTGCATGTTTAATTGCCGTGTAAATGGGTATGAATGAGTACATATACATATACATATATATATATATATATATGTGTGTATATATATATATGTAT